GGTCAGGGCGCCCCCGGGCCGCAGCCCCCGCGCGCGCCGCGCCCCGATGGCGGCTGCGCCCTGGCACCCGGTGCGCAACGACTCGCTGCCGCCCACCTTGACCCCGGCCGTGCCCCCCTCGGTGAAGCTGGGCCTGACCGCCGTCTACACGGCGTTCTACGCGCTGCTCTTCGCGTTCATCTACGTGCAGCTCTGGCTGGTGCTGCGCTACCGCCACAAGCGGCTCAGCTACCAGAGCGTCTTCCTCTTCCTCTGCCTGCTCTGGGCCTCCCTGCGCACCGTGCTCTTCTCCTTCTACTTCAAAGACGTCGTGGCGGCTAACTCGCTCAGCCCCTTGGGCTTCTGGGTCCTCTACTGCTTCCCCGTGTGCCTCCAGTTCTTCACCTTGACGCTGATGAACCTGTACTGCACTCAGGTGAGTCGCCGGCAGCCGGGCAGGGTGCCCGCCCCACCCCCCTCCCCTCCCCCAGCACCCCAGGGCGACACTGTCCAAAGGGGGTCGCTTCCCAGAAGGGTGTGTGTGCAGCATCGCAGCAGACGGGGTTCGTGTTAAATGCAAAGGTCGATAGAGTTACAGCCCCAGAAATGTTTTCCTACGCCTCACTCCCACGGATCCGTTTACCTACCAAGCTCAACCTGCTCACTTACCTGGCGGATCTCTGATCAGAGCTGTCGTTTCTGTTAGCTGGTGCTCCCGGCATCCTTTCCCGTATTGTATTTTTCTAGTCCCTGATTTTGGCAGGTTTCCTGGTGGTGTAGCTTCAGTCTTAAGGTCCTTGGTATCTGTGAAGCTAGACCAATAACTAGCTTTTTTTTGGGGGGGGACCGAAGCAGTGTAAAGGAAAAAGAAAAACCTCAGAGGACTGTTTATTAGGGACTGGGAACGTTGCAGTTCAACGTAGAAAGCTTGTACAAAGTTATTTTGCTGTTCGTATTTCTATAACCTAAACAATATCCTGTTTCAGTAATTTACAACGGTATGACTCAGTTATTATCTTGTGGTTACAGTGATTCATAAACAGTGCTAAGGATTGCATGTGGTCTGCTACAGAAAGGAGGCGGTTGAGGGTGGGAGAGGGTGATACTGAAAATTACCCCTGCCCTGGGTGACAGCAACTCAGTGATATGCCACTGCCTGAAGTGACTAGCACCCAACACAGCTGAGAGGGCTGCCTCAGAGGTGGGCAACACACTGTACTGGGGGCGGCTGAGCCCCATTCTACTTGTAGGCCTCTCTCAGGCCATCCCCTCCCATCCCCGTACTCCCAGTAGAGGCAAGGGGGTAGAAAGATGAGGGTCGGAGGCCACAGTAGTCACTGCGCTTAGGTTCGACTCAACCCAGGTGCAATAGGTGCGACAGAGCACTTGCTGGCAACTCTAGCATCTTCTGCACACACATCAGGATTGGTACTGATGGAAGGTGCCCGCTGGTTAGCCTGAACTCTGAAATTCCCTCTCCATTGCTCCATTCCATAGCCCGTCACCTGGAAAAGCCATGTGTACTTTAGTCTCCAGACTGTGGGCCCAGGCCCCTGGCATTTTTGAGTGACAGGAGGCGGAGACCAACATGGTTTTGATGAGTTGTTTGGAAACCCCACCAAACTGCATTTTACTAACTCATCCCACAGGATTTCCAAACGGCTCTGGGGTAACTCCCAGCTCCTGGCTGCTGCCATAGGGGCTGGGCTCACTGCCTGCTCTCATCGGAGTGACCCAGAGAAAGCCCCATTAAAGTTTAGTGGGCCCTATTCCAGGCACACGAGTCATTTTATGAGACATATTGTTGAGCTGATGGGAGAACATGCAAATGACCCGACTGCTGCTTTTTAAATGAAGATTGACTTAATGAAAGACCAGTCATCAGCAGAAAGCACTTTGCAAACAGTGCATAAAGAATTACACAAAGGTTTAATAGCTCCGTGTTTTAATCATCTCTGATTCCACTCACTTTGCAGCCACTAAAATATCTATTCAAACTAGGACTTTGCCCCAGGGAAATGTGCCAATTGTGTTGCCTGCAGCCGGGGTAATTTAAGACGAATCTAATGGGCAGAATCCTGGTGCAAGGAGATTTTCGCTGGCCCTTTAAATTACATCTCTGTGGTGGCATAGAGAGATGGGGCTTTCTACTCTTCTAAAGAGTTGCAGCCTTGAGAACCCACAGGGGCTGTTCTCCCCGGTCCCACTGGATTCCTGTAAGGCAGAATTGATTTGACGACAGTGCGGTTTCTTTCTTTTTGGTGTGTCCTTTCTCAAAAGAAATGGTTGTTGGTTAAAAGAAAAAGTACAGAATAAGGATGACCTTGGTGCAGTGGGAGCCAGTAAGAGGAAGTTTGGAGAAATGTGTTTGGCTGAAAGAACATACCATATGTGCTATTATTTCATACTTAAATATTAACAAAGTGGGCTGACCCTCAGAGGCTTCTTGTAAGTAGTGTTCAGCATGTTCCAGTCCATAATCTCTGTCCAAATACGACTTTTAAAATCCCCAAACCAGTTTGGCTTTTTCATTAGACTGCAAGGGGTGGTGATAGAACCCAAACCAAACGGATTGTCAGCGAGTGAGTTCTGACTCATAGTAACCTACACAGGATTTCTGAGACGGCAAACCTTTCCGGGAACAAACAGCTTCAGCTTTGAACCGTTAACTAGTACGAGTTGAAGAACTCTGACAGGAGCTGTGCTGCATCTTGCGAGCTTTAATATTGCCCCTTTTCAGGGGTATGGGTATGGATAGGGGGTGACAGAATATTATTCTCCAATCGTGCAGATACTTAACTTGATGTTGGATTCGGGGCAAGGCTGCACTTGGCTGCACTACCTGCTGGTAGAGTCCATGCTGACCAAGAAGGGCGAGTGACCAGGCAGACAGGGCCACTCAGCACAGAGCCCAAAGTCACGGCTCTGCTTCCTTTCTGTCCCCCAGGTAGGGGGACCCTACAACCAGGGGTGTTTCAGTTGAGGGCCCAAGGAGCCTGACGGGAGAAGGAAACACATAGGCCTTGGCCTCCAGGATCCAGGCAGAGCAAAGCCTTTTCAAGCATCCTGCTATTTCTGGGGAGCTGTGAAGTGTGTGCTGATGCCCAGTGGAAACTCATCCATCCTCCTATCCAGGGGCTGCATGGTGGAGTCACCAGGGCAGCTTTATAGCTGCTGTTGCCTGGATCTGCTTCAGAGCAAGTAACCAGACTTTGTAGGGAAAGGGTGGCCACTAACAATTTAGAAGCATGTACAGGGCGCCAGGCACAGTTTTGTTGTTTTTTAAATCATTTTATTAGGGGCTCTTATCACAATCCATACGTACGTCAGTTGGGTCAAGCACATTTGTGCATTCATTGCCCTCATCATTCTCAAAACATTTGCTCTCTGCTTAAGCCCCTGGCATCCGCTCATTTTCCCCCTTCCCTCCCCACTTGCCCATCCCTCATGAGCCCTTGATAAATTATTATTTTGTCGTATCTTGCACTGTCCGATGTCTCCTTTCACCCACTTTTCTCTTGTCTGTCCCCCAGGGAGGAGGTTATAATCCTTGTAATCGGTTCCCCCTTTCCAACCCACTCTCCCTCTATGCTCCCAGTATTGCCACTCTCACCACTGGTCCTGAAGGGATCATCTGTCCTGGATTCCCTGTGTTTCCAGTTCCCCTCTGTACCAGTGTCCATCCTCTGGTCTAGCCAGATTTGTAAGGTAGAATTGGGATCATGATAGGGGGTGGTGGTGGTGGGAGGAAGCATTTAGGAACTAGAGGAAAGCTGTATGCTTCATTGTTGCCACACTGCACCCTGACTGGCTCATCTCCTCCCTGCGACCCTTCCATAAGGGGATGTCCAATTGGCCAGGCACAGTTTTCAGCAGTTGGTCTTACTTGATTATCCTATGAAGAAAGTAGCAGTAAACTCAAAACTTGACCCTGACCTCCAGGGAGTCATAGCAACCCTTCTAGGACACTGTAGAACTGCCCCCTGCGGGTTTCCAGGACCAGCGCTTTCCACAAGCAGAAAGTCTTCCTTCAGCTGAGTGCCTGGTGCTTTCAAACTGCTGTCTGAAAGACTGGTCCCTCCCAGTACAGCATTTGAATCTTCTTACCATGGGAAAGGTAGTACTCGGGGTGTAATGCCTTGTTTTCCAAGAACTTCACGTCAAATTGAGGAGATACTGAATATATACAGGGGGTGCCCACCCCCCACCCCCCAAAATGAAACTGCTCTGGGCTGAGTGGAGTTTTCACAGTATGCATTTTTCCAGCTAGGCGAGCATCTAGCGACTCGCTCTGAGTTCGTGCACCCAGTGGTGTCACCTGGGAAGTTTCTCTCTGGCCACAGTGAATTTTTTTCATAAAAGCAGTTTCGCTCGACCCTTGTTTTTTGTGATGGCTGATTTAAGAGGCCAGCTTGTGGCTGTGAAATTTTGTTTCCTGCTTGGGAAAATTGCCACAGAAACTGTTGTGATGTTGAACACAGCTGGCGTGGACAGTGCTACAGGAAAAACTCAAATGTGTGAGTGGTTTTCTTGTTTCAAAAAAGGTGAACTGTCGATTGAGGACAAACCTTGTTCTGGACGTCGGCCAACTTCCTGAACAAATGAAAATGTCAACTCGTGCATTTGGAGTCGTTCCACCAGGCCAGACTGTTAATCAAGCTTTCTGTTTAGAGGTTCTGATAAGATAGCGTAACCGTGTGCGACTAAAAAGGCCTGATTTGTGGCAGACGGGGGACGGGTTTTGCCACCATGACAATGCACCTGCTCACGCATCTCAGTGCACCAGTTTTTGGCAAAAAACATCATGACTCTCTTGCCTCATGCACCTTACTCAGTTGACCTCACTCCATGTGACTTCTTTCTGTTTCTGTGGCTGAAGCGGGTCATGAAAGGACAGCAGTTTAACAATGTAGACGAGGTAAAGAAAAAAACGAGGGAGGTGCTGTCAGCCATCCAAATAGATGAGTTTGAGAAATGTTTCCAAGAATGGAATCGCAGATTTGACGAGGGTAGTAAGGGTCATGGAAAGTACTTTGAAGGTGATAAGCTTGTTTTGTAAACGTTTTAAATACATAGCTTCGGGGAAAAATTCCGGGGTTAAATCGTATTTCAGAGAGTTTCAGGGAGTCCATTAAGAAACACTGTTGGAGGAAACGCTGAGAGCTCAGAGAAGAGGCGGGGTTGCAGGCTGGGAGGGGAGGTCGGGAGGAGGAGGACGGGGCAGTCAGGAAGGGAGCAGTGTGGTTAAAACGTGGGAAGGGCAAGGGGTCTGGCGATGAAAGAAACTTTACAGGTCTTGCCCTGACTCCCTTCCTCATCTCCTTTAAGCCTCCCTGGCGCCCTTATGAGGAGAGACTTGTTCTCCTCCCTGCTGAGGGCTTGAGAGGTTGGGGTTTGCTCTTTGGAAGTGGGTGTGGTGTGCTCTCTGGCAGACTC